TAATCGATTAATAAGGAATAATGTGCAAGACACGAAGGGCCCAAGCGAAGTGGGATGAGAAGCGAAAGTTGGAGTTTATTCCTTGTTTACGACAACTAAAATAAGGTAGACGGTCCTCTCTTAATCAGTAAACACTCATTCAAAGTATCTGAATGAGGTAAAAGTGAGTCCAAAAACTATTTTGTGTGTCAAACGATGTACACGAAAAAATATTTAAAGTATATTTTTCTTACCAAAAAAAAAATTGTGTAACCTTAAAAAGTATTTTTTTAAAGAAATTTTTGACACACTATTTTGAAACTGACTCAGTAAAATATTTTTTAAACAGAGAGAAAATAATTTTTCAACTCACTGAGAAAATAATAATTTTTATTCCTCAAAAGATAATTTGTTTGTGCAGAAAGTATTGTCATCCTTACAAAGATTCCTAGACTCAATTAAAAAAAATCTACGGAGTCTTCACTTCACTTCAAAAACTTCTGCGTAGGGGTAAGCCTTGATTTTTTTTATTGCCGTAAACTCTTGATACCCTTCTTTGCTTTTCTCGATACGAAAATAAATTTTCGATCAGCTTGAAATTAATCATTCTGTTTGTCATTCATCAAAACAAAAAATATTCCAGAAGAAATAGTAAAGGGGTTTGAACTCATGTCCAACATGGGAGTTAGAATGAAAGAAAGATTTGCTCTTTTATAAACTTTCTCTTCTTTTGGAATCATTGTGTGAGCGCTTGAGGTGAGTTGGGTTTCAAAGTGATCCAAAAGGCCTTTGAATTACATGACTCCGAGCCTTGTAGAGAGTTGACGATCCTCTATATGTGGTCAAGAATATGATTCAACTCGAGCCTTTGAATTCTTTTCTATTTTTAAGTGCGTAAGTTACGTAATATATTGTCTACGTGCCTATTATATGTGTAATGTTCAATTTGTGTTTGTTCTCTTTTTCATTTTGTTTCGGGTTTTTGGCGGTGTTTTTCGGGTTACCTAGGTTGAATGAGTTGATTATCTTTAGAGCTTGTTCTCCCCCAATTTTATAAAAAAACCAAAAAAGAAAGAAAACATAAAAAAACCAAAAAAATATTTGCTTTTCATTCAACCCCCATTTTGTCATGTTTAAGTTATAATATAAGTTTTTATACTTATTTACTTTTATATACTTAAATATGTATTTTGTTTTTATAAGCTATATTATAAGTTCTTTGTTTATATAAGTTATATTTATAAGTTTTTACATTTATTTCTTTATAAGTTTTATAAGTGTTCTAATATGTGTAGTAGTTAATTTATTTTATTTGGTGACAATGTGTGTGCATGCTAATATAATTTAAAAAGCACAAACTTTTTCCGTGGGATCGACCCTTACTTGCCCTAGCTATAATTTTTATTTGATTATATATTGGGGGTTAGCTAAGGATATTTATAAATTTTTAATTTGTTTTGGACCTTACGACAAGTCCTCAACAGTAAACAACAAGACATGGACACATGACAAGACTCACAATGTAGTTGATTAGAGAATCTAAAACCTAAGGTTGACATAATAGATTTGGCAATAGAAGGAGCCGAGTGGCCGAGTCTGCAATGCGAGGTAGACGTTGTAACTGCTTGGAACACAATAGGTATGGGCTTAGAAGGGAGAGTGTACAGACCATGCTTATAAGGGCCCATGTACCACACCTGATAGTATTTTGAGGTAAGGGAAGGAACATGATTAAGATAAGGGAGGTGATATTTACCATGTGGTGTATGAATAGAGCCTGAGCCAGTATGTGTTATAGGTTAATTATGACCACTACCTACAGTGATAGTTTCAGTGCCATGATAGGGAGTTGAAGATTGTAGCTGTCAGAGATCATGCGTAACATCAATGTTGGAACCTGTATCAAGATACCAATCACCAGATTGACTGCTCGTGGTGGCATGCATAGCATGAGATGTGGTAGCAGAGTTGTTCACAGTATAAGAGTCATTATAGCGGTACCAGTAGGTAGCAACAGAATGGCCACGCTTTGCACATATTTGGAAAACAAGAAGGTCTCGCGGGCTACCCCTCTTCCATTGCCTTGACCGCAGTGACCTAGGGTATCCCCGCTCCCATAAGACGGTCGACCGTGAGGTCCTCCTCAATCGCGTCCCAGACCGTTTCAAGTGAATAGGGTTGTATGCACACTCCTAGAAGCAGAATCAGCTAGACACAATTTGCTTTCAATTTCAAGGTTGATTTCTTTAGAGGTGAGCCATCCAGAAAGCTGATTTAGACTGATATTCTTGTTGTTCATCCGAATGTTTTACTTAAACGAGTATTCGACAGGAAGACTGCGGATAACAACATTTACCACATCTCCTTCAGGAATCACTTCATTCAGAGCATCCAAATATATGAGAATTGTAACAACTTCATCGATATATTGAGTCATGGATTTTGTACCTTTGCAAAGCGTGTGAAGTTTGTCTCGAAGTTGATAAATATGAGTTGTGGACACCGAATTCTATCGAGCAGCAAGAGCATTCTAGAGATCGGCAGAGGTAGTAAAATTTCAAGCTTGTTTGTGAACAATGGGGCTTAAAACAGCAAGAAGACATGCATGTATTTGGGTGTCAATCACAGACCAAGTACTATATTCAGGATTAGGGTTTACCTTTCCAAGAAGAAGATTAGCATCGATGGCAGTCTAGACATTGAGAGACCATGCAAGGTAGTTGGAATCTAGGAGTTTTTCAAGGACAAGATTATGAAGATTATAGAGTAGAAGTTTGACTCAGAAGGAAGGGAAGCGATATGATCAGATGTGGAAGTCATTGTCAACGGTCCATCGTCAATGAAGAAGATAGAAGAGTCCGGCGGTAGCTAGGTAAGGCCGACAGTCCACCAATCACTATTGAAGGGAAAAAAAGGAATCGGTCGACGACGGTCGAGCATCGACAACGGCAAGAGGAGGAGACTGGCTGCTAGGCTCAGTCGATGAAAAGAGGGGCTAGGGTTTAAAAGCCTTAGCTTCGAAACATTTAATAAAATATTGATCTCATTGAATAAAGATCTCCCAAGGAGTATTTATAGTAGATGATATGAAATCCTAAATAGGGTTTGTAGTGAAATATGGAAATACAAGAATAGGGAAACAAAGTAATATTAGGATTCTATTCTTATTACCTTTTTTACTTAACACACTAGTTTCGCGCCATCTTGTCCAATACTTTCCAAGGGTACGTTTTGGATCTTCGATCATCTTCATTGGCATATCTCATTTTTTTAGTTTTCACTATGTGGTCAGGCTACCGATAGCATCCTCGAGATATGCATATTTGCATAATATATATCGTACAACCAGTTGTATGGTGTTTCCCGTACATCGGCAGCGACCACTCATTGCCGATCAACTGAGTACTCATTTTCCGAGTAACTGATACTCATTTTTCTAAACTTCAGTTACTCGAAAATGAATATTCATGTGAATGTGCACGAAGAACCGTACATTCGGATACATGGAATAGGTACTCGCATATTTGCCCACTTGTCTATGGAATTAGTCAAATCCATTCTTCTAGGGCCGTTGATATGGTTACCCATACGTAACAACAAGGTTTGGGATCTTTACTTTACATTTCAAGATCTCATTTATTCAGCGAGTACATAATAGATCTTCAACAATGGTGGCGGCGAGGAATTATATTTGGATGTGAATTAAAGTTACTTTTTTTCAAAAAAAAAAAACTTACAAGAGAACATTACACTAGAGTATAAAAGTCTTCTCTCAATGAGAGCACATTTACTTACTTTTAGGTACCAAAAATATATGGAAAAAAAAGTTATGGCATGCTGAAAAAGGAATATATAAACATCTGAACATACATTTTTATGTAGCAATAAAATCTGTAAAAACAAGTTTTTTTCTGTTGGTACCATGCTGATAAATGGCAGTATATTATATATCAAGAAGATCAAATATACATGATATTCAATTCCATTGATGACGATGAAACTCCATTCGAGAAACAGAGAAAACATATGGGGAGAGAGAGAGAGATTGAGAGAGATTGAGAGAGAGAAGTGTAGTAGTGCATATTTTTTTACGTGGGGAATTGAGTGTATTATAATGTGAGAGAAAAGTATTACGGAGTATGATTTAATGGGAGAGTCGTAAAAGTATTATAAAGAGTGGAATACAAGAGATTATTTTGTTAAAATGGAGGAAATTGTTGTAGTGTTGGGTTCTCACCATTACATGAGGCAGAATTTAGTTTTTTTTGAAGTGAGAAAAATTTTACAGATAAGTCACCATTACCTACCACTCTCCCGAATATTACTACAACTCTGATCGTGATATATTAGTTTCTTGTTGAACCAATTTGATTGCACGAAAGTAAAAGACTCAGAATTCAAAGATCATTTTTTTAAAAGAATAGCTGTGGAGAAGTGAAGGTGGCATTGGTATCCATACCCCCAGTCAAATGAATAAAGCACCAACCAAACTCGAGATTTAACTAGCATTGACACGTTCCACCCTCGACGATGTTCAACCAATGTTATATTTTCCATCCAAAATATCTTTATGAGCGTTTATCAAAGACACCGCCATTGTTGTATTTGTGCACGAGGGGGGATTAATAAAATCAAAAGATAAGAACTAGTATCAATTTTAAAATCGGAGCACCATACATATTGTCAAAAGAACCGAGCTTATAACGACAATGAAAAAAATAATTATGATGATGATAATATAGTAATAAGAATAACAATTATTATTATTATTATTATTATTATTATTATTATTATTGGGACGCCTTAGATGGGGTGGTTGTTGGTTTTCCACTGACTGAGAAAGTCATCATTGGAGGCGACTTCGATGGCCATATTGGAGAATCGAATGAGGGCTTCGAGGACGTGCACGGTGGCTTTGGCTTTGCCAGCAGGAACCCAGCGGGAGTTTCACTCTTAGAGTTTGCCAGGGCGAGTGATATGGTGGTTGCTAACTCTTGTTTCCCTAAACGTGACGACCATTTGGCTACATTTGTTAGTGGAGTGGGGACGACACAGATCGACTATCTTCTCCTGCGCAGGTGTGATCGGGTGCTCTGCAAGGATGCTAAAGTAATTCCGAGTGAAAACATCACCACCCTACACAAGCTTCTGGGGATGGATGTCAGGATCAGGTGGGTGAAAAAAAGGAGAGTTTCGAGTGGCAACGCACACATCCGGTGGAGGAGACTAAGTGGGGAGAATATCTCTGAGTTGATCAGGCAAGTGCAGAAGAAAGGGGCGTGGGAATCGGCCGGAGAGGCTGCTGATATGTTGACGCAGACTGCTAACTGCATCAGGGAAGCTGCCAGGGATTTGCTTGGTGTGAGCTCTAGCTCAGGGAGTAGGCGGCAGGGTGATTGGTGGTGGAGCGATTCAGTCCAAAGTAAGGTGGAAGCAAAGAAGGTGGCATATTTGAGGTACATGGGCTGCAATGTTGAGGAAGAAAGAGCGGCATTACGAGTGGAGTACAAGAAGGCACGTAAAGAAGCTAAGTTAGAGGTTACAAGGGCAAAGAATGCCTCTTTTGAACGCCTCTACAAGGATATTGAGGAGAAAGGCGGTGTTAATACACTGTTCCGGCTTGCTAAAGTGCGTGAGAGGAAGGCCCAAGATCTGGACCACATGCGTTGCGTGAAGGGCAGTGATGGTAGAGTGTTAGTTGAGACTGCCAAGGTGGCTAAGCGCTGGGGGGAGTACTTTTGTGAACTCTTAAATGCGGGAGGAGAGCAGAGGCTAGTTCTTGATGAGCTGGGGCAGTCCGGGGTGTCTTGTGTATATTGCCGGCGCATTTGCCTGTAAGAGGTGGTTCGGGCTCTCCGCGGGATGCGTAGTGGGAGAGCTTTGGGACCAGATGAGATTCTGGTGGAGTTTTGGAAGCATGCGGGTCGTGGTGCGTGGGTTTGGTTAACCAAACTCTTCAATGTCATCTTCCGGACAGCAAGGATGCCGGATGAGTGGAGGGAGACTCTCTTGGTCCCCCTGTTTAAAGGCAAAGGTGACATCCAGAGCTGCGAGAATTACAGAGGCATCAAACTGCTTAGCCACACCATGAAGGTATGGGAGCGAGTCATTGAGTATAGGGTGCGGAAAGGGGTATGCATCTCTGAGAACCAGTTTGGTTTCATGCCTGGCAGATCGACTACAGAGGCCATTCACCTCGTGAGGAGGTTAATGGAAGAGTATAGGACTAGGAAGAAGGACCTTCATATGGTGCTCATTGATCTTGAGAAGGCGTACGATAGGGTGCCAAGGGAGGTCTTATGGAGGTGCCTTGAGACGAGAGGAGTTCCCATCGCGTACACTCGCGCGATCAAGGATATGTACGATGGGGCTATGACTAGGGTAAGAACCTTCGGGGGCGACTCTGAGTCATTCTCGGTAGGGATGGGGTTGCACCAGGGGTCTACCCTTAGCCCTTTTTTGTTCGCCTTGGTGATGGACGTCCTAACTCAAGGTGTGCAAGAAGGGGTCCCATGGTGCATGCTTTTCGCGGATGATATTGTGCTTATCGACAATACACGTGAGGGACTAAACGATAAGTTGGAACGATGGCGCCTTGCCCTTGAGACTAAAGGGTTCAGAATAAGTAGGAACAAGACTGAATACATGGAGTGTCGTTTCAGTGGCAGGGAAACAGAATGAGAGGTGGAAGTTAGGATTGACTCTCACCTAGTACCTAAGGTAGACAGGTTTCGATATCTTGGCTCGGTAATCCAGGCTGATGGGGAGTTAGACGGGGATGTTGGACTTCGTGTTGGAGTGGCTTGGGCCAAATGGCGGTTGGCTTCAGGGGTATTGTGTGACCCGAAGATTTCGCCCAGGATGAAAGGCAAGTTCTACCAATCCGTAGTCAGACCTGCTATGTTATATGAGGCAGAGTGTTCGGCGGTTAAGAAGACTCATGTGCGTCGTCTGCATGCGGCGGAGATGCAGATGTTACGATGGATGTGTGGGAAGACAAGGTTGGATAAGATTTCAAACGAAGTTATCCGACGTCAGGTAGGCATGGCGCCGGTGGAAGATAAATTGCGGGAAGCGAGGTTGAGATGGTTTTGGTCATGTGAGACGGCGGGATGCTGACGCCCCTGTACGAAGATGTGAGCGGATTACGGTTATCGGGGGAAGTAGGGGAAGGGGTAGACCTAAGAAGCATTGGAAGGAGGTGATTAGACATGATTTAGGACTTCTCACCCTGACTGAGGATATGACTTTAGATAAGAACCTTTGGAGAACTAGGATTAGAGTAGCTGGTTAGGAACTAGGTGCTACAGAGGTTTTTTGTAGTGTGTTGTGTTTGATTGGAATCTTCTATTAATGTTTGTAGAACTTTCTTTTCATTGTACTTGGTGTTTTACCCATTCTATACTGTGTACCCTATCATTTTTTGTGCAGGTTGAGCCGGGGATCTCTTGGAAACAGCTTCCCTGCTTCCGAGTAGGGGCAAGGTGTGCGTACACACACCCTCCCCAGACCCTACTGTAGTGGGATCCAACTGGGTTATTGTTGTTGTTGTTGTTGTCTTATTATTATTATTATTATTATTATTATTATTATTATTATTATTACAGCAATAATACCGGCGTTTTCATCTTCATGGGTAATGAAAAAAAAGAATTCGGACTCTGTTCAATTCACAAAGCTAAATGAATGGCCCTCTCCAAACACACAAAATCTCTGTTAAAAAATATGAATAATGACTTGATCCAATCAGGTCTGAATAATGACTATAACTTTTTTTGACTTTACATGGACAATAATAATAATGATAAGAGAACAAATTACAACATTACATTTCTCGGCTTGCCTCAACGAGCATAGATAGAACTATACCGATCTCCATCACAATGCACACATGACAAAGATAAAGTAAAATAGAAACTTTAAAACTGGAAAAAGCAACTACTTCCCTATGCAAAACAGGGCAAGAAAAAAAAATAACAGCCCTTCTATGTTGTTGATTCCAATAATGGTACACATTCACTCCAAGGCTTGATTTCATGTCACCTCAAAGCTCCTTGTACAATCTCCTGAACCGTTCGATTGCGGCGGCAAACCTCGGAAAATTCTTCGATGGGAACTACCAATCCATTCACATTTGCCCCACTTGCTGCCTCTGATAACGCTTGTAGGAACTTTGCCTTTTCCAACTCAGTAACAGCAGTTGATGGGATTAAAGAAACGCAGTTCTTTGTCCAGTCAAGAGCTTTTACCCCGTATGTGCGACTCAAGGAAAATAGGGCATAAGATACCTACACGCCAAAAGGCCTCACAGTTAAGGACTATAGCAACCAGATATGGCATCATTGAGCAATTTTGGATATAACGTGTACTAAACACCCAAGAAGTGTTTGCTTATACCGTTTCTAACCGTGAAGTAGGAAGTGCTCCGGTAATACAAGCAACTAAAGTTTTGGCAATGTTAGCCCCTCTGGGAACAATTATACTGTCTCTGATTGAGACAAAGTTTTCTCCTTGATAAGAGGTTGAAAGATCAAATGTATCAGATAGGAAGTGCAGTATTGAATTGGAAGCCTCCCTGCAAGGTAAATTAGAAACACATGATTATGAATATTTCAAGTCAAGTAGTAAATAATATTAACCACAATTAGGATTTCAATTGGCTTGGTAGGACGGGGAGGATGCCGATATATCAGATGAGAAGTGTTTATGAATAAACCTAGTGGTAATATGAACGGATTTTGTTGCAAGGGGAGCATCTGGTCCAAAAACAGAAAACTCAAATATATGGATGGGCATTTCTTGAGAAATAGTGTCAAGCTGAATGAATGTTGTAAAGTATGGTTTATCATTAATAATAAAAAAGAGAGAAATCAGTAGATATATATAAACTATTGTTGAATCTGGTCCAAAAACAGAAAACTCAAATAAATGGATGGACATTTCTTGAGAAATAGTGTCAAGCAGAATGAATATTGTAAAGTATGATTGAATCCAATTGATTATTTAGTTCAACTCAAGAACTTATATATAGATTTCATCTCTCTTCAAGTTTCGATGTGGGATACTCTTTAACACTCCCCCTCAAATGGACAATCGGGCCATTTTGAATCTAACCAATTGACCACTTGCAAATGGACTCTCCCCAAGAAAGGAAAGGATGGAAAGTGCCAACACTGGGTTATATGGGCCACAGGCTGTTTTCCATATGGTCAACTAGGCTAAAGACAAATGGGATGCTAGGAATAAACTTCTAGACGGACACCTTAACAAATACGGTGCACTAAAACAGCAGCGGCGGACGGCTCAGTGCCGATTGGCCAATCAATCGAGAATTTTAGAAACCAGATGTCATGTCATGATAGAATTTAGGATGGGGTATGGATCATTCCATTGGGCAACAAGACACTTGAGTTGAACCACATTAGAAGATTGAATCTAATCGATTATTTAGTTCAACTCAAGAGCTTATATATACCGATTTAATCTCTCTTCAAGTTTCGATGTGGGATACTCTTTAACAATATGGTTTATCATTAATAATAAAATAGTAAAACCATTATATATATATATATATATATATATATATATATATACATATATATATATATGGGATTGACTCGAGTGAGATGACATGCTTCAGTGAGATGACGCCAAGCTCACCACACTACACTACAAAGCTCATCAATGGACAATGCAAAGCTCACCTAAAAATAAAGCAAAGCTCACCACTTTGAACACCAAAACTCACCTTTTTTTAAATTTTGAAAATTAAAAAATTAATAAAAATAAAATAGCAACACCGGTCAATTGGTAAGTTTGGCGTCATTTCACTGAAGCATGTCATCTCACCGTAAGGTGTCATCTGACTGGAGTCAATCCCTATATATATATATATATATATATATATATATATATATAAACTATTGTTGAGAAAAAATTCAATATCCTTTCTCAACCCGAAAATAACCAATAATCTGGCTCCAGAAGATGAAGAGTATAGGATCTTGTGTTGAATGGGCTAATCAAATTTGATTCATTCATTTAGTGTGACTAAACCAAAATGTCATCAAACAATTGATCCAGAAAAAACAAAACAATCTCATACTCTAAACATGAAAAGTGAGGGGAAGTCACCTGTGCTGAACTGTGACACCAACCATGGCGCAGTCCACTAATGATGGAAACACCGGAGATGGGAACAACAGATGAGGACAATAGCGTATGCACCTTGACGCCAACAGAAAACAATCATCTGCTATATCTGGTCTAGAAGTGATCTCCTAGAAAAAGGGGACAGCTTGGAGAATTAATAAATATATGCATAGTTTAAAAAGAGACAGCAAGTTCACACACCAGAAGCCATACCTCAATTTTGGTAAGCATACATGTGGTATGACTAAAAAGGGACTCAATGAGAATTTTTAAATAGGAAGCACACGATGGATCTGAACCAAATATCTGGAGCAAACTTTGTAAGGATTATTTCAATAATCATACAGCTAAGGATACCACATCTTTTTTGTAGTCACAGAAAATAACATTCTTACCTTAATAACCTCACTAGAGAGATAAAGGAAACAAGGTTGGTGATGTTGTCTGTACAACACCTGTATTTCCTCAAGCATTGCTCCAATAGTAACTACCATGAGCTGCTTAGACATCCGCACCTAAATAACAAATAGAAGCTTATTAAAACCTTTGAGACAAAGAGGTGACTTATTCAAAAGTGTGACCAAAATAACACTCTTTAATTAAGACCAAACTATCTAATTAAGCATTAAAATAGTGAAAATAAAATAATTGAACTCTAAATGAATAACAGTTATCAAACTTAACCAGATTTACTATAGCAAATCAGAAAAATGGAGAAGGGTGCAGGGTGTTACGTGTAGGAACCACTTCGGGCCCCAACAGAGAACTGCAGGGGCTTGATGGTATCCTATGACATTAAAAACTAATACGTACGGAGCTTTAGTGATCTCATACATATATTTGTCAGAAGAATTCTTGAAATTTCATAGAAATCTGACAACATTTATGTTGTACTTATAGTTGTAAATATGTTGACGAGTTATCTTTCTACGGGTATATACTTAACTAACAGGGGAAGTTCCTAGTAATCCTCCATATTCCACAACATGGCCAACAATACGCTGAAAATTTAGCATTCACTATTTCCTGCACCCTCATCATACTTGAAATTGATTCAGGAGTTTGTATCATTAAGAAACTTCAGTTGGTTGACGTTAGCCAGGATCAACTTCTTATGTGTTTCAATGTAAATTAACATAATTTATAGAAAACTTAATACTCAATATGTAATGTCACACATACTTTTGATCGCCAAAAGGAGTCATCCTTGATCAAACAAGGCTAATTCTCAGTAGTTTGCCAAATTAGAGTCCGTAACTTATATGAAAAAATAAGTTAAACCAGACCAAACAAACCCAGAATATCCCACTCAAGAGTTGGGTTTGGGTACGCAAACCTTACCTCCCCTCAAAGGCAGAGAAATTGTCGACCAGAAGTGATATATCTGGTCTCAGCCTCATCATGGTTCGCCCTATACCCTACACTCCCGGGGGAAGCCGAGGACCTATGTTTAAGCTATATGATCCATTTTGAAGGCCCTTAAACCCATGATCCTCCTCAATCCCTACAATCCAGAAACAACACCAAACCTTAACCATTCTCCCCCTTCTCCTTTTCATCTTGGCCAAACCCATCTTCCCCAAAACCCTACCTCATTCACCCCTCAAGACCATGTTAAAACACACCCAACAAAACCCCCTTCATAACCCTTAAGTTGGTCGAAAACAAGAAGCCAAAACAAACCCATTTACCCCTTAAAACATCCACCCAACAAGGCCCCCACTATGTCCCCTATACCAGACACAAAACATCCATTACCTAACAAAACACACATGGCACAACT